GATCAGAACTTGCGAAATAGTACTTGAAAAGTACGATCGGGTTTTGCATAAGGGCATGTGCATTAATTGGGTATGATATAATCCATGCATGCACGATGTTTGTTCATGAGCTATCGAATTTTTTCACGCGATGTATTGACATAGTATCCTTTTTTTAAATCTCATAATTGCACTATTCCACTTTTTTTTCGCTTTTTTTCCGTCCAGTTCGGCTCTGCTGTAAAATCTGGCGTGAAATTATTTATTTTCCGACTACATTATGCCTCCCCCAAAAAAAAAAAAAAATCAGTTAAAAAAGAGATTTATCCAGTCGTGGTGTTGAGCTAAGACGTATACTTTGACTTAATGGACCAAAACATAACTCATCACATTTTCATATTCATTCATACTTCTCCCCACGCCTTTGCTCCCTAAACTCCTAGGATCTACTTATACGCTACAATCAGCTTATCTCAAGAACGTTAATGCAAAAGGTTTTTGCAGCGTTCAAAGGAGCTCTCGTTACCACCACCCAATTTGCTAAAGCAGTCAATGGAGATTTTGGAACAAGGAATTTCCCGGGTTCGTTGCGATCGTCGGCTTTTCCTCGGTATGACTGCTGTCTTCGTTGCACTGATTCTGTCGACGCTTTTTGTTGAACAATATCTCCCTAGCATCCGATATTTGGTACGTTTCGTTTTTCATCATCAATGCGGCGAGTCTTACGATGCTAAGAATATATAGCAAGACATTGAGTTGTTCCCACTTACAGGCCTGTGAAAATTTTTTGCGGGTAAGTTGCTAACTCGAAAACTAGAGAAGCTAGGAAGCTGAAATTTCCAATGACTGTTCCCTGCGCTAGGTCTTCTTTCGTGCTAAACCTTCTTTTGAGCGACCTGCTTTTGGTTGTTTTGTCCTGGTAACATGTAATGCCCAAAAACAGAGTGGATGATAAAACACACAATGGATAAGCACCCAGTTCCCCCTGATTCACATCCGTTTCGTGGAACTGGCCATTCCACAACACTCGTTATGGCGTTTTCGTTACAGAGGCGCTGTTGATTTTCTCCAGTGACTGAGCGGATGGAACCGCGCCAAGTATTTTTTGAGCCAAATATTGTTTAAAGCAACTGGAAAAGTCTCAAGCTGCATAGTTGGAGAACCCGTGAAAATTATGAACTGCTTTTGTGAATTACTGTTTTTCCAGTAATGCAAGGAAGAGTGTGGTGTGTGTGTTTCAGACAGCGATATTTCGATTTTTGGTGGCACTAATAATCGCATTTTGTCTTTGGCACGGTTTAATCGGTCTTACAATGGAAATGAAAGCTTTAAAAGCATCGAAAGCATCGATTGGAATGCTTCTCAACGACTGATCCCGCACTCATTTTTGCCTCCATTATGATGATGTACACTATGGTTTTGATCAGCGTACATTCCACAAACGCAGTATACGCTTTTTTGAATTTTTTGATTTCTAATTTTGTTATATTTTCTCCTTTTTCCTCTATTTTTCTCTTCTATCTCAGTTGAAGTGTAATCTTTTGATTATTGAAACTTTTGTTCTGGATGCTGAAGTCTTTTTTTTCTCTTCATGAGCTTATCAATAATCAGACTCTCCATCAGATGAGCAGCGTGCGATTTGTCTTAGCGACCACGTGAAAAAGTAAAATTCGATGGACAGGGGCATGCTACTGACTTTGTGACAATCGATGGGTGTCTTGTGTTTGTAAATGGTATGCACGAGAAAGTAAACAACCACTCGGGGGACCCCAGAAGAATAGGCACATATGCATCTATGTGGATATCGTGCATTTTTAAGTGCTATCCACGAGAAAGTAAACGACCACTCGGGGGACTCCCGAAGAATTGGCATATACATACGTATAGACAAACGATGAATGCTGACTGGAGTGTAAACCACGATCGAAAGACCTGGCATAACTGTACTCGAAATTTGATATCACTGACATGAAATCCCGCATGAATAGTCCGAGCGGTCTTAGTGATATACTGAGATAAAGGTAAATCTACAGCGTAATTGAGGTATAGCTCAACTTGAAATTAATTTAGCAGCTTTGGGGGATCTGAGCCAGATAAATTAAGCCGGTTTTTTTTTTCATAGCTTATCCGGTTACGGTCATTACGGTTAATTTTTATGGTTTCTGTAACCAGTGGTGTTGCATCATCCGGTATTCAGCTTGCTTTTGTTGCTGTTGCTGATGATGATGATCTCGATATTGATCCTCCTGCTTCCTTTCATCAGTCTTCCGGGACAAAAATTGTTAGCTCTTCATCCTCTTTTTGGATCTTTAGCTCACTCATTAACAGTTGTTATCCTTCTCATATTGATTTTCATCGAAAACGAGAAAAATTTCATCGAAAAACAAAAAAATTTCGTCGAAAAACAAAAAAAATTTTATCGAAAAGCAAAAAAAACCCTGGCCTTTCGCTACTCATTGCTTTTGGTGAGTTTGATTAGTTTTATTCCATCTATAACATTCATTTTTTCCTCTTATTTGAAATAATATTCGGGGAGTTTTATCTGTGTTTTTGATGCTTTACTATGCATACTTCATTCATTCATTCAATTGTTGGCTTAAAATTCATTTACCGGTGTCTTCTGCCATTTCTGGTGCATTATTATTCAATCCCTGTGATTAAAACTCAGTTT